GCAGTGCTGTCAAAATCTACTTTTCTCCTCTTCAACTCTTCACTTCTAAGAAGATATTACAATATTTTCAGTGCACTTGACTGCTTGCTACTCCTGGGATACAGTCATCAAGCCAGCCAAAAGCAGAGCCACTTCAAAAGCTGCATGAGCTACATCTGCCCTCACGCAATCTGCACGTGGACATCTACACCCACTTTCACGTGCCGTGCACCAAATGTGTTTGCATGGGACACAGGGACACATGGAAGGTGTGCAGAGGCAGAGATGCACGCACAGCCACACGAGCCCGTGTACACAGGTACCGCACCTGGTCCAGACAGGACCACCCTGGGGACAGTGTGTTCCTCCAAGTCATCCCCATGCACAGCACAGTGAGGTATTTTCAACTACCCCAACTAGAGCTGCTCCAACATAATGCTGAACGTGCAGCCTCTGCACCCTTGGGATGTGCACTGCAATTAATGTGTCAAAATAACGCTGCAATGTGTAGTGCTTCAGGGCTGAAATCCTGGCTTTTCTGGACCTTGAGAACTCAAAACAGCAGCTCTCTGCCACAGGGTAATATCACACCCATCACCTCTTCCCATGCCTACAAGCAGAGCCACCAACCAGCCCTGGGCAGCTCTCCCACCCAACAGACGCTCTGCAGCTGGCACCACACTGCAGTTTGAGTGAGGAAACCTGGAGGAAGTCTTATGGTGTGTGTTGTTCCTCACAAAGGGAACAGGACAGACTGTGAGGGCAGAGCTTTTCTAGAGGGCACAGGTTGGCACGACCAGGCCGCTGGGCTGCCAGAATGCTCTCATCTTCACCAGACAATGCAGTGTCTGATCTTCCTATCTGCCAGTATCCCTGCCAGACTCGCATTTCAATCACAACTTGATTTTAGCAGCTGCTTTCTCTCTCTCAGACATGCACATACGCACACAAATGCACCCCCTCAAGCAGCTGTAAAATTCAAGCTTAGCTGGGTAGGTAGGGCCTCTTGTAAAGCACTTGGGACTCAGGGAGGGAGGGAGCTTCAAAAATTCAGAGGATTATTGCCTTAGGCCAGGATTTGAGAGGGCTCCCTCCTTGGCCTTCCTGCTCTACCAGCTCTTGAGACAGCACTTCTAAACACATATTGGTGCTGTGGAGGAAAAAAGCAAGACAAATAGAGGAAAACAGGCAGCAGGGGATGCCTGAGGCTGGCTGGCATGATTTGAAATAGCTAGAGAACTCTGATGTAGGCTCTTACCTCTCCTCCAGTCATTACTCTCATCTACTCTACTATTTCACCTCTTCTTTGCCACCGTCAGCGAGCACAAATCCCAGCTCAGGTTGGTGCTGGCCACGACTCGTGGTCCCAGCCTAGCCTGGCAGCCACAACAGCACCTGCACATCTATTAAACCTAACGGAGCGTTTGAGAGGCGGAGGTCAGCCTAAGCAGCATATGGAGCAACCGCGTGGTGAATACCGGCCTCCCTGGGAGCTGTCTGCCACAGATGGAAAAAGCCCAGGAGCCATCACGATGAAATCTTCTGGCTGGGGGTGACGCATCCTCCCTGTCGGCTTTCCAAGCCGCTGAGCAATACTGGAAACCTCAGCTCCTCTCCCCCTGTGTGTGCGCCTGGCACTGACTCACTTGCTGACGTTTTGGTCCTGCGGTTTGCCGGTGGGAGTTGCAGAAGGTGGGATGTGGCAATGAAGTAATCCCAATGGCATGTGGCTACCACAGTGGAGGCAGACTAGCCACCCACTCCAGAGGCATGAGCTGGCTGCACATGATGTGGACATGCCCACTGGATCTGGATCCAGCCTGCTGCTGTGGTCACAGGGATTTTTTAACCTTGACTCTTGGACGGGATGGAATACAACTACCATGGGACAGTACATGGTCTTCTCCTGGAGAAAGACATCCCTTCACATGGTCCAAGAGCTTAGTCGGTTGTGCAACCAGGAACACAGTTAATGGCAGGGAAATGCAGGCAGGTCACCAGGAGCAATGCTCCAGCTGTGAGATCTCCCAGGCCAAGGGACATGACGTGGCCCATGGAAGCCATGGCATTTCCCCAGCTGAAATCACCCACAAACCAAGCACAGGCTTTCAGCCCTGCACTGGCTGGAGGCAGGCAAGGGGAACCACCACGGTTTCTCCAGCTCTGATCCCTTGCAGCACTGTGATTCCTCTCCATCTGAAACTATTCCACTGGCTGCAATTTAAAAACAAAATCAATCCAACAAATATTGCTAAGCAACTGTCTTTCAGTGCCACATCCCACCCCGCCAAAAATATTTGCCCTCTCCGTGACCTTCTGGCAAGGAGCTTGCTGCTCAGCCCTTGCCAGATTTTGTGCATTCAGCTGTTGCTGGCAAATCCATATACTTGTCTGGATTAGCAAAGAAAACTCCAGGAAATCTGCAAACATCCTGGTGAAAAACACCCCACAGAGAGGCTCTAAGGAGCAGCAGTCCCACATCCCAGGTACTAGGATCAGGACAACAAGGTGCTGGTCTTAGGGCATTAGGTGGTCTGCAGGTCTGTGAGTCTCAGTGCTGCCATGCATCATACAGAGGGGATAAAAGATGGAGAGCAAACACACTGAAAACCTGGTTGCAGAGCAGAGCAAGCTGCTTCAGGCAACAACATTCAGCTGAGAGGCTGAAGGAGAACATGCTTACCCATAGGGAAGAGCTGCAGAGGTGGCAAGACCCTCTCCAAAGCCTCCTAACCCCTTGTGCGAGCTGGGCAGAAGCCCCTTGTCATGGCAGTGCCCCTTGGTGTGGGGCCCACGATAGGATGTACCTTCCCCCAAGGTCAGCTGGAACAGAATTGAGGTTCAACTCTTTGGGTTCACTCTCAAACAAGACAGTCTGAGCACTTCCAGTCTGGCTCACACAAAGCAGCCTAAGCCAGGTTTGCCATCAAAACCAAGACTTTAAGCACAGCCTCCAGCAGGGCACGCAGCATGAGCCCTGGGGTTTCCCATCTCTCATGATAGCCCAGTCCATGGTACTCTGCTCTCTGCTTCACAGCAGCGACCTCTCCCAGTCAACCCCATGCTGGACTCTCCTTACACATTCTTGCACACCCATCAGCAATTTCTCCCTGATCCAAGAGAAGGCCATGCTCATCCATGCTCTCCTACCCAGCTCTGCTGGGCAATTCAAGACCCACTCCCAAGTTGCACAGCTGTGCCTGAACATCGCCTGTGGCAGCTCTTGGAACACCTGTGCCGTGAGCAAGGATTATCTTTCCAGATAGGGCTTAGCTCTGCACCCTTCTCTCCCCTTCAACCACCATGTCAAGACCCTTCTCCCTCCCCCATCCCCCTCATCAGCTCCCCCAGGTCTCCCAGCAGCCCCATTTCCTCCGTGGCCACTCTAATGCTCGGCTAATGGTGCATCATCCGCAGCATTGTTCAGACATATTCAATAAATCAGAATCCAATTACCGGGTTAAGGAAATTGGAAGCAAATGCAATTAGCCCCAGCCCCTCCCACGTGCTGTGCCCTCGCTTCCTCCTTAATGAGAACTTTTCTTTCACAGGAGCACTCAGGCCCGCATCTGCCCGCCCAGGAACAAGGTGGCTGCCACCATGCAGCAGGGGTACAGCGAGGGGGCAACCAAGTCAATCTTCCCTTTTAATAGGGCAGATGGTTAATATGCCTGGCATTAATTCTCTCCAGGAATAGTACACTCACTCTCTGCTCAGTTATAACAGGCGTCCGTCAGGGCTGACAGCTTCTCTCCAGAGAAAGGAGCATCTGGTCCTTACTACGAAAAGGAGCTAAAACAATAAATAAATAAATAAATAAGCAGACTGCTTGCTAAAGGGCTGGAAAACTGGTGCTGTTTCAGCATTTCAGCCTAAGTGCTGCATTCGAACTGGAATATGGAAAATTCAGGGTTGGGTCAGGTGCCAGGAGCAAGGTGCAGCCTGGGCAGTGTGGGCAGCAAGGTGCCATGGCTGGGGCCAGCACAGAGCTCCCATCAGAATAGGACTTCCCCCCAAAGGGCTCCCAGGACAAAGCAGTAGAAGACAGCTACTGCCAGCAGGCTGGGACATAATGCCAGGCACAGCTCCTTGGGAAGGGCCTGCACCAGCTGTGGGCTGGGGACCTCCAGTGGGGGCCAGGCATACGCTGTGCCCTTGGAGGACAAGGAGGAAAACTGCATCGAGGGAACCTTGGGAGCATTTCCTACACCAGCTGGACACTCTGGAATCACTTTGTCCAGCAGACTAACAATTAACCCCATCGACCATCAGCAATCTGCAGCTGCAAAGGGCAGCTCTTCCCCAATGAGTTTAGAGAGGTGACTGGAGGGAGGCTACAGCTGCACTCATGGTAAGCGAGGGTACACCAAAACTCCCACCCTGCCCTCCTCATGCTGACAGCAGCAAGGGAATGTAGGTCCCACAAGGCAACCCTTGATATAATCCTCCCTGCCTCTCCCAAGAGTTCCTTTGGGTGTCGAGGATATCCTTGACCTCCATGGTACTGGAGCAGATAGTACCCCAACAAGTTCTTATCTTCCTCTCCCCCTCACTCAGCAGTAGTCCCTTATTTCACACATTAACTTCTCTCTGCAGAGCAAAGTGTTCAACAGTTATTTTATCCCCCTTCCGACAGCTCATTTCATCCTCTGGAGAGCAAGAGTTCCCAGCACCAGTGAAGACTTTGCCTGTCGTGCAGATGTGCTCTCGCACACCCATTACTTTTCTGAAGGAAAAAAGGATTTTCCTTTCTTTTCCTATGGTCCTGGAGTAATTTATACAGGTTTTAGTTAACAGGTTTGGGACTGCCAGACATGCCAAGAAATCAAGTAAAGTGAAAGACTCAATCCTAAAAATACAACTCAGGCATAGCCAATCCCAAGTGCACCCACTGGGTGTGGGTGAAGGGCCCAGACCCACCTAGCATCCTAAAACCATGGCCCTGAAGAGGAATGGGACTATCCACCCATATAACGAAGTTTTGTGAGGAAGATCAGGAGAAACCATGGGGGAGGCAGAACCTGTGATGGCGTGTGTCCCGGACGGCACGGTCACTGGGGATCCTCTCGCTCTCCCGCTGGTTAAAGGCATGGAGCCGGTACGGGTCCTCTCCACCCTTCCACCTCCGGGCGCTCAGGTACCTCCGCTCTTCAAACTGATCCCAAAGGTCGTCCCAGTCCACGTCCGAGCCCTGCGCGCACAAAGTCAGCCCCGTTAGACAGAGGAGAGACCAGAGGACATCTGACCCCGCTCTGGAGGTCGGTCAGCCCCACGGTGCAGACAAGCATCGCAAGAGCAGGCTAACAAGGAACCTCATTAGGTTTTCTTTTTTTTTTTTTTTTTTTTTTTTTTCCTTAGGTCTTGAAACAGCACGTCAAAGAGAGCCTGCCAATTTGAATTTAAAATGACTAATTTGAAACCAAAATCATGTCTCTGGTGGATCTCTCTCTCAAACAGCACAGTTTCAAGAAATATAAAAGCACAAAGATATTGTTAGGGTTTTAATTTCTCTCCAGCTAAAAAACAAAGGTATTTTACACCACATGCCCATCACCCCTGTAACCCTTCAGGCAGGAAAGGGCCAGACAGAAGCAGTTTCATCAAGCACAATCCCACGTTTCCACAGCTGTACCCTGCCCCCAGGGCTGGCTCCAGCAACTGGACCCTGAAAGAAGGGGGCCGTTGTCCTCCCAGCCCAATTTCGGTCCATCTTTGCTACAAGTCTCCCACCGAGGACTTCAGCCCTAATGCAGGGAGAAGAGCCGGCAAGCATGGGCCTGTGCTGTATCCCCCGTCCAAAAGGATGAAGGAGCTGCTTTTTGGGGTTACCTGACAGCTCCGACAGCCATCAGGGGGTTTAAGCATCCCTTGGCAGCTTGGTGCCATCAGGGGGTTTAAGCATCCCTCAGCAACATGATGCTGTCAAGGGGTTTAAGCATTCCCTGGCGGCAGGATGCCTGAGCCAGCCAGCACAATGCAGCACTGATAAGATCTCATCCTTACAGCAGCACAACCTCTTTGATCTCAGCCCACGTGTAACACAGAGAGATGCAAACATTTACAGACATCTCAGCCCTAAAGAAAATTGTGATCTTATCCAATAATTGATCTTTTCTTCTTCTTTCCTTTTTTTTCCCCCTCCTCAGTTCACACCATCTCAAAGCCGATTTTGCCTGCTAATAGTGCAAAATGAAGCTTTTGAAACGGGTGATTTTTATCCTGTAATTGATTTTACTCGCATCTGGCAGTGCGTTTTCTCTAGTCATAGGAAGGGGAGGAGGGAGCACTGGCTCCTGCAAGTGAACCACAGCAAGACCAAGCCGGACACCTCCAGCCACATGATGCCCCACACTGCCCTGGGTCACAAGGACACCCCCAACAAGCCAACAGAGCCCAGGGATGCAGGGGTTTCCAGATACAGGGTCGTATTCATCCTCCTCCAGTGTGACCCCACGGCCTTCTCAGGAGCTCCTCCAGCACTTACCCTAGTGCAGGGCAGACCAGAAGAAACCCCCAGGCCACGAGCCATATTGGGAGAAAGTTTTTCAGGAATAGGAGAAAATTATTCAAGGCTGGGAGAAAGTTATGAAACCAGTAAGGCCACCGCAGGAGGTTTACAAGGAGGATGTACATAACCTGTCTGTGGGCTTTTGCGAGGACCAACATACACTGGGTGATAAATATTCTTTATGGTTTTTTCTAAGGCATCTTGCAAAACATGATTTACTGCCACAGTAAAAGATCAGGGAAAAGTGAGCCGATTGCATCGCAGAGCCACCGGCAGTCTGACGTTTATAAGATTTCATGATGACCCTGGGGGGGCCTGGCACTGTTAAAACAACCACTGTAGAGTTGCAGTCCCTAAATTTTAATGCTGTGAAGAAAAGTAAAAGTTGAGTTTATCAAACTTAATGAGAAATTACTTTTAAAAGCGGCCATATAACACTTAAAGCTGTTGGATGTATATGTTTTTTTTGTTGTTTTTTTTTGGGGGGGGGTTATGTCAGTTAAACCCAATAGCCTGGAATCAGCTAGAAAGGTGCAGATGGGCAAGCATCCAACAGCTCTAGTGGGAGGGCTGGCAGATTCCCATGGGCAGCCACAGCTCCATGAAAACAGGAACTTTTGCACATGCTGCAGGGCAGCAAGGCTCTGGCCAGGCCAGCATAAGCAGGGGGTCAGCACACAGGAGGGTCCTGGCACCTGCTTTGAGGTCTGGGATGGCATTTCCCCAGCATTCAACTAATCTCACTACCATGCTGTTACTGGGGGGTCCCAAATGGATACATGGACATGGCATTTGCTTCTTATCCTGCTCTGGATATATCTTGCATCCAAGGATTACATTCTTGGTCATAACACAGTGAATAACTAATATTGCTGTGAAATCTCCACCTGAAAGACATCAGCCCACTTTGATTCACACAGGCTCTCCTTTTTGGGTCAGGAAAGGTATCAGTAGGATGCTTCCTAAATATCAAAAGCAAATAGATGTCAAATAGAGATTAAAGAGTTATTTTAACCACTATATGGCCACAAAACAAACCCAGGGATTGGGTTAACTTTCTCAGCCAGAAGTAGATATCCAGGTTTTGTCATTTGCTTTCAGTCCTCATCTCCTGTCCAAATCTTCTGGGTGTTCTTCAGCTTTCTATCCCAAGCTTCCTGCAAGGTTAACCAAAATCAGAGCAAGATGCTCTGACACATGCATACACCAGCCTCTGCAAAAAACTAACTGTGCAAAGCAGTGGTCTCGGATGAAAAGCTCCTAGCTATGCAAGCAGTGGGAAACAGGAGACCTCCCCAACCACACACAGGGGCTTGTCTGTTTCTTGGCACTGGATCAGGGATGGGGAAAGCAAGTTAAAGCGTAAGGAGAAATCCCCTTCACTCATCACCCAGGGACAGCACATCAGATACGGGTTACTGGGTAAGGTCTTCATTATAATATTTCCACCATGTATTATCACCTCTTCCTCACACTAGAATTCTGTCTTGAGAGTTAAATAACTGATGTGCAGAAATCTAAATTTAATTTATTATGATCTAACTCACTTTAAAAGCCAAATTACCCTGCACTAGAAAAGGATCAAGTCAATACTCAACTTGCCTTTCTATTTATCTTCTACAGGGCTCTTCTCTCCAAGTTTCATATTCATTTTCTCTCATGTACTAGTAATAAATTTTCATTTTTTTTCTTAGAATTAGGTAATTTTTCTTTCAACATTGCAGTTTAATGGCTGGTATTAATTATAGGAAACACTGTCAGTGCTTAAAAGAGTTTGAGAGACTCAACGAGTCTGCAGGAAAAAAGATGAAAAAAATATCCAAAGGTAGTTGGCCACTCTTGGCAAACAAGTGCCACCCCTTCCGACACCACATTGCGGGGGTCCCCAGTAGGCTCAATGAGAGGGGGCCCCCAGGCAAAGAGACATGGACAAAACTCATTGCAGAGAGGAGCTCTCGTCTCACCCCAGTGTGCAGCCAAGAGCAGGGTTTGCTGAGAACTTTCTCCTTCACTAACCTGCTAAAAGCACCTCCCCAAAACACCTGCCAAAAGCATCCCCAAATCTGCCTGCTAAAGGCACCCCCGCAAGAGCAAACAGCAAACTCCCAGAGCAAGCACAGAGGCAGCTTTTCAGTGCAACTGTACATTAAAGATCGAAAGCCTCTCGGTACAAAGACGTAATTCGTCATCTGCCTCTTAAATCACAGCTCAGAATCAAAAAAAAAAGGGAAAAAATAATATTAAAAGAAAAAGGAGTGGTGCTGCAGGGGGGAGAGCAGGTCATTAGCAGTAAAACTACAATTTTCTGGCAACTGCTAATGCCTTGTTTATGTGGATTTCTGCGAATATGACATTTTAATGGCATGATAATTGTGTGATTACAGTACAGTGGGGATTGCTGGAGTGGGAAGGAGGAACGCACGACCCAGCCGGTTGCTGCTGCAGGCCCACAGCATCCCCACTGGATGCTCTGCTCCCTCCTGCCTGCACCCGCAGGCAGCCCCTGGCACCCCCTGCCAGCAGAGGAGGCCAGAGCAGGCTGGACACCAGGCAGGGGGCCGGTGCACTGTGGCAGCACCTTGGCCACAGTGAAGTGGTCCAGCGAGGAAAGGGTGTTTCAGGTGAAAAGTCTGGCCCAAGCAGAGCCAGTAGTGACTGGGGATGGGCAAGTCGCACTGGTCCCCAGGGTCAGCCTCCAGCTGCCCAGGAAGAAAAGGAGTGGGCGGCACAAGCCAAAAGCGGAGTCTGATTCACTTTCTTCTTTCATGACACTGTTTTAAAATAGAGGACATAAGCCTTTGCTAAAATAAAAGCCATTTTCCCTTTGGGGCTGCTGAGTGTTGCCATTAGACTGAGCTGAACCAGACCTGCACCATGCACATCCTTTCAGGAGGCAGCAAACCCAAACCAGCCTAGCAGGCGGGCAGAGCTGACAGGGTTTGCCAGGGAGCCCAAATCTTTGGCCAGGCAAAGGGGGTTTGCTTGTGCAGGTGCAATGATGGACCCAAGTGGGTCTGGTAGCAGCCAGATGTGCCTCTACCTCAGCACCCCTCACTCCCATCTTTCCCTGGATAACCTCCCCCCTACATAATCCCTGATCAAGCACTTGTTCACTGAGCCTCTGTCCTACCTTCCTAATGGGGACTCACCCATTAAAAAAAAAAAGAGGATGGGAGAGGGAAATAAAAAAATTACATCAGCCTAGCAATAGCTCCAATAAACAAGCGAAAACTCTAGAAACTCAGATGCTGCACAGCCTGTTACTGCGTGGCTGCACTCAGTTGCTCCTCTGCCTGCGGATGGTTTGACCACATGTGCATGTTCAGCACAGCCCAGGGGCACTGGAGGCAGAGGGCAATCTTTCAGCAGGAATTGCAACTAGGCATTATACAAATGAGATTTAAACATCTCACTGAAGCGCAGGGCCCCTGCAAGTAGGAGGTTCAATTATAGAGCTGTTACTGGCCGAGGTGCTAATACCATCTGAAAGGATTATAATACTTCAAACAGCGTAGGGCTCATCCCTCCTCAACAGTTGGTGCCAGCACATACACTAAGAGGGTCAGCAGCCCCAGAGAAGAAAGAAGTGGGGCAGCATCACACTGCCTCCGTCCTCTTCCCCGTCTTCCCAAACAGCCCAGACGCAACATGAGGTCTAAATCAGGAGGTCTACAGCCCAACTGGAAATTAATCTGGCTTCAGCTAGCAAGGACAACAAGAAATGTTTCTATAAGTATGTCAACACCAAAAGAAATACCAGGGAGAGCCTCCATCCCCTGCTAGACACAGGAAGAAACATGGTAACAAGTGATGAGGAGAAGGCTGAGATGCTTAATGCCTTCTTTGCCTCAGTCTTTAATAACAAGACTAGTTGTATTGAGGGAATCCAGCCTCCTCAGCCAGAAGACAGAGACCAGGAGAACAAGCCCCCTCATTCCAGGAGGAGATAGTCAGTGACCTACTGCACAAGTCCATGGGACCAGACGGGATACACCCGAGGGTGCTGAAGGGGCTGGCTGGGGTGCTTGCCAAGCTGCTTTCCATCATTTACCAGCAGTGCTGGCTGACCGGGGAGGTCCCGACAGATTGGAAATTGGCCAATGTGACGCCCATCTATAAGAAGGGTCAAGAAGGATGATCCGGGAAATTACAGGCCTGTCAGCTTGACTTCGGTGCCCAGGAAGCTGATGGAGCAGCTCACCCTGAGTACCATCACACAACACATGTGGGACAACCAGATGCTCAGGCCCAGCCAGCATGGGGTTATGAAAGGCAGGTCCTGCCTGACAAACCTGATCTCCTTCTACGACAGGGTGACTTACTGCTTACCGGATGAGGGAA